GTGCCATCTACGATAAACCCACAGCTAACATATTGCTAAATGGACAGAAGCTAAATGGACAGAAACATTTCCCCTGAAAACTGAAACAAGACAAGGCTACCCACTCTCACCCCTCTTGTTCAATATTGTGTTGGAAGTCCTAGCTCGGGCAATTAGACAAGAGAAGGAAATCAGGGTTATCCAAATAGGAGAAGAGGAAGTCAAGTTATCCCTCTTTGCTGATGATATGATCCTATACCTTGAAAATCCAAGAGAATCTGTCAAAAACTACTTGCACTGATAAAGGACTTTGGCAAAGTCTCAGAGTACAAAATAAACGTGCAAAAGACAGTTGCATTCCTATAAACCAACAACAAGCAGGCAGAGAACCAAATTAAAAGCACAATCCCATTCACAATAGTCACACACACACACACACACACACACACACACACAAATGAAATACCTTGGCATTTTCCTAACCAAAGAGGTGAAAGCCTTTACAATGCGAACTACAAAATGCTGCTCAAAGAAATCCAAGAAGACACAAACAAATGGAAAAATATCCCATGCTCATGGATAGGAAGAAATCAGCATTGTTAAAATGTCCATCCTACCAAAGGCAATCTATAGATTAAGTTACCAACATCATTCTTCTCAGACCTGGAAGTGACAATACAGAAATTCATATGGAAACAAAAACGACCACTAATAGCCAAAATAATCCTTAGCAAAAGAAACAAAGCAGGAGGTATCACACTTCCAGACTTCAAACTTTATATAAGCCTACAGTAATCAAAACAGCATTGATATAAGAACAGGCTCATAAACCAATGGAACAGGATAGAGATTCCGGAAGCAAAGCCTCAATTCCTCAACCAACTCATCTTTGACAAAGCCTCCAACAACAATCACTGGGGAGAGGAGAACCTATTCAGTAAATGGTCCTGGGAATACTGGCTGACCACATGCAGAAGATTGAAACAGGACCCCTACCTATCACCATACACAAAAATTAATTCAAAATCGATCAAAAACCTCAACATAAAACCTCAAACTATAAGAATCTTAGAAAATGCAGGAGATACCCTTATGGACATTGGAACTGGCAACTAATTCCTATTCAGAACCCTAAAGGCCAATACCTTAAGAAATAAGATAGACAAGTGGGACCTCATCAAACTAACAAGCTTCTGCAAAGCAAAAGAAACCATAAAGAGAGCAGGGAGACAGCCCATAGAATGGGAAAAAATATTTGTTAACTTGTATATCTGACAAAGGTCTAACATCTAGGATCTACAAGGAACTCAAATACACTGAAAGGAAAAAAACAAACAGCCCTTTAAAAAGTGGGCAAAAGATATGAATAGACACTTCTCAGAAGAAGATATACAGGCAGCCAACTGACATGAAAAAGTGCTCAGCCTCACTCATCATCAGAGAAATACAAGTCAAAACCACATTGAGATACCACCTGATCCCAGTAAGAATGACCATCATTAATAAAGCAAGCAACAGATACTGGCGAGGATGTGGAGAAAAAGGGACGCTTCTACACTGTTGGTGGGAATGTAAACTAGTACAACCTCTTTGGAAGACAGTGTGGCGATTTCTGAAAGAACTAGAAATTAACCTTTCATATGACCCAGCAATTCCCCTAT